TTAATATTTGAAATTTTATTAAAAAAATAAAGTTTAAAAAAATAAACACAAACAAATTTGCCTGTGTTACAATTTAAAAGATAGATATTGTAGCAACAAACTAATTAATATCAAAATAGTTTTACTAAAAAGAAAGTGTGATCTGCATATCTAAAAAAGCGAAACCCAGTTTTTATATATAAATTATATTACATAAACAATTACTAAAAATCTCGACTAATTAAAATATATAAATAACCACATATAATTTTGATTTATATAGTTTACCTAACACCCCAATATCTCATGCTTTGTATTTTCAACTTTACTTACCTTAATATCAAAAAAAAAATAAATTAAAAAATAAAAAATAAAATTTTGTCTATATTACAATATAATTATAAAATTTTTTAATGAAAACCAAATATTTTTTATTTTAAACCATCATTTTTTATTTGTATATTGCATTAATATAATTTATAAATCTATATACAGTATATATATTTGTAATATTAAAAAAATTAAATTAATTAAAATTAAATTAAAATTAGAATTTAAAATTTGAATTAAATATAGTTTATAGTATATTAATTTTTTTTTTAAAAACCTGCAAACTATTTTATTAATAAGATTTTAAAGTATATATTATGTTTTATATACTATATATATAGCAAATAATACAATTATCAATTTATAATATATAGACTAAATTAACATTAATAATATTTATATATATTAATAAATATTTAAAATTAATTAGTATATAAAGTACAGTACGTATTTATAATACATAATTAATTACATATGACACTTGCGATTTCTCAGTATTTAGTCATCAGAATCGAATGATTTACCACCATTTAATTCATCTCATTGAGACGAATCGAATGATAAAATCACTTTATTGATTACTAGATCTCAGGTGCGTCATAATACACCTCTTAAGACGAATCGAATGGTATATAAATTATTCGAATTTGATCAATAGTTCACGGGTTACGCTAGATTTTTTCTTAACTGCGCCATGATGCCTTTTTACGTATATATATATACTGTATATTTAAAAAAAAATCAAGAGATTCTTTTTAAAATAAATAATTGTTTTATTAACATTCTATATTGAGATTTTTTTCAATTGAGATAATTTTTTATTATCAATTCACTATATATGGCTTTGCAGTAGAAAGGGCCTAAATGCTATATATAATATATATTGCATTTAGACCTTTTCTACTGCAAAGACCCTATATAACCTACGCCCGGTTTGCTTGGCATTTGTGAACAATACAAACGCCTAAGAAAGAGAGTAAAGTGGAATTTTTACATATTATTTTAGATTAGCCTACATAAGATCTAGCACGTGTAAAAGAAGAAAAAAGAAACAAAGAGAAATGCTTACGTACGTACGTACGTCTTGAAAATAAATCAGCGTTGGGGTATTGGCGTATTAATTGCAAATAAATAAACATAACAGATAATAAAATAACGATAATGTATATACCCTGAAACCAACGTTTTTAACCCTAAATTCAACTTACAAACATAGTTTATATTAAATTTCCTTTTGGAATTGTATAACTTGCGCTTATAAGTAAACCCGGCTCATTAGTTAGTTGTTTGTAGTACTTAAATGTGCGTACTCACGTAGACACATTTACACCATATTATACAGTTTATACAGTTATAATGTAAGTATAACCACATGGTATTTGAGTAGATAGATTTCAATTTATACTAAAGTGAAAATTTATGCATAAATACGTAAGCATATACATGCGTTGCATTGCATTAACCAATAATATTTAACTTTGAGTCCGAGCCTAATTAAATCTCGATCCTTGAAATCGAGTCAGTTCGGATCGAACGTTTAACAACCCCAGCCATAGATAATGACAAACAATTCTGCTTGTAGTACGTAGTACTTTATTTAAGGGGTATATAGCGATAGTATTTTATTTAAATATGAGACTACATAGAAGCGGTCTAAACGGTACTATGCTAAAAACAGAGTAAACTCTTTAAACGATGATCAATGTAAGATCGCGGAGACACTAAACGTTAAGTAGTTAAGTAGGATTAAAATTATTAATTAATTCTCATCAATCACAAGAAAGTTAAAAGTAACAACTATATGTAGTTTTATGATAGATTATATAGAATTTGGATATAGCGTAGCGATAGAATTTGGATATACGTACGTAGAATTTAGATATATCAGATATAGTGCCGGTATGTATAAAATTTGGATATTAGATATGGATTTGGATTTGGACGCACGTACGTACGTAGAATTCGAATATATCGATATGTATACTTGGATAAACCTTAATTAGTATATTAATAGTAAAATGATTAGTAGATTTTTTGCGGAACAATATCTACGTAAAATACTCGCCAACGAAAAATAATTCACATGCATTAGCATTATGTATTATTATTTTATAAAAAAATTAAACTATGGGATTACGTAACTAAAAAATATTAAGTCCGTGTGTTAAGTTCAATCACCGATGTTAAAATAGAATTGATGTAAACAGTGATGAATAGTCGATCAGAAAATATTATTGACTATTACTAAATCAACTAATGTGTATGTCTATTACACCGGAACGACACTAGTACTGCTTCATGTCGAATGACGCCAAACAGGCTTGCCTCCTGTCTTACTGATTATCTTTCGGAACTATTTATTAGATTTTAAAGCAGACTTTTGTAAACGTACGTATGTATATAGCTGCATTACATATAACATTTCGCACGCCAATCTATTCTAAAAGGCATATCGCCAATTCATCAGTAGTAGAATCTTGGTCAACTGTATTAATAACTATAATATTTCATATGCACAATAAGAATGCTTTGATAATTAGATGCAGGAACATGTTCTGTTTAATTTTGTTATGTTTGAATCGAGAAAGTTCGAGCGCAAAGTCGATCTAGATGAGATAAAAAAAAAAAAAAAAAAGTCTTTGATATCACATGGAGATCTGTATTCTTTTTAGGTCCTGCGTAACTACATGTGCACATAATCATGTGAGACAATGCAAGTCGGATGGATCTTAGATGTGATGTATAGTCATGTGTCACTAAATTACTCGAAATCTATTAGGTTCAGTTAGCGATGTGGACGGATTTTAGGTGTGATGTATAGTCAGTATAGTCAGTATAGTCAGTATAGTCATGTATCACTAGATTATTTGAAACCAATTAGCGATGAGTATGTATAATATGCAAATCCCTTAGTTTGATACGTCATATAGTATTGTTATATGTTTAATTTATCATGAAACGGGAAAGCTCGACCTTTCAGGAGACCTTTAAAGAATTTTCTCAATTGTTCATACATGATTGTTGGGTTCGCCATCAGACATATACATTCTTTGCCTTGTAATTAAAACTTTTATGGGTAAGTGTAAATAAGTGTAAATATTCAATATTTGTATTAATTAAACTATATTCCCCTTAGTTAATTTATGTCTACCATGTTACACAAACATTTTACCCGAAATTTCACGACCAGTATCACCCGAAAATCTTAATAAATCTTAATAAATCTTAATGATGGCGGGAAATTTCAAATAAAACTGTTTCAATAGGATCTACACAAAATCGGATTTCTCACTACATATTAATTATTTTATTTTACTGTATTAAGTTTAAATAATCGGTTTTCCTATTTTGGCTTTCGTACGTTTCTGATGGATCGCTGCACCTGCATACAAATAGTTGGGTTAAGTGTTTCAGTTGACTAAACTTATTCCAATACTTTTATGGAAATTATTATCATTTTTTCGTAAATAATATTATTCACTTTTAAGACTATGTATTACTATCACTATTTACTCATTGATTATTGATGCTTCTGTATTTAGAGTGGCTATGTCTATGTTTAGTTTATCCAGTTTATCTGTTAATAATTGCCGAATTTCATTAAAAAATTTCATTAAAAAATTTCTTTTTGTATATACCGACTATCCACTATATTCTTTTTTTTTAAAAATGTGGTATAGTTTTTGATTTTGAAAATACTACGCGTCACATCGTAACATTTTTCTAAATCTTATAAAGCAACTTTTTGTGTGACTCTAAAAGATTAGCCGATACTTCAGCCATCATCTTTTCAATGTAAATTATGTTACTCTGCTTACTTCACGCATGGGAAAATATCTTATCAATCGATAAAGATTAAATTCCATTTTCTTATTTCAAACAATATAAAAAAAAAAAAAAAACAAACCTCCGTCAATTATAAAAGGATCTGTTTAAAGAAATATTCCTCTTTCGAACGAGATTTTTTGTTTTTCGGAAAACTAACTGTATATTTGTATATTTTTTTTTGCACTAACGTTTTCTTTTTTATGAGAATTCATTTAGCATTCATCAACCTGTAAATAACACGACAATGGCTCAAGCGTTCCCCCCTAAGGGCGAAGACTTTTACATAAAGTCTGCTACCTCCCCTTCGGGTTCTTCCACGTCTTCCTCTCCGCAAAATTTAGTCGTTGATGTTGAACGTGGTTTTTTCATGACTTGGGGTGCAATTAAAGATGGATCAAAAGTTGTGGTTGCTCCACAAAAAAGTGCCACTGAACATGATGCTTGTCAACTTTGGCATTATGATGACGGTTGGTTGATTAATAAACAAACAACCTTATGTCTGGAAGCTGAAAATGGTACGTTTATATTCATACAGTAAAAAAATCATCTTTTTTGATGCAATTCTTTGCAATTCCTTGCAATTCCTTGCAATTCGTGAGTTTTTGTCTGCGCGTTATTTCAAAAACAAAAAAATGCCGAAAAACTCAAATTGTGAGCACGTGCATCGCAGCAAAGATGATCATTGAACATCTACCCGGAGAATTTTCTTACCGGGAATTCGGTAAATCCACCGGGAAATTTTGTTAATCCGAGCATCCTTTATTATCTTTTCTATAGAGAAAGCAGGACAACGTCTCAGCCTTTATCACAGGAAAAGTGGAAATCAAGCCAAAAACCAGAGGTGGACTCTTACCAAGGAAGGGCGTATTGCATTACAACATCAACCAAAATTCGTTCTTGACGTTAAAGAAAAAAACAAACATGTCGAACTGGCTGATAGTTCATCGAAAAACTTCAAAAATAGCCCAACTTCTCAATTTATTCTGTTGCCAATCCATCCTGTTAAGAAATGTAATTTCTATACTTTATATATATATATATATATATATATATATTTAATTCTCAATTAATTAATTCAATTAATTATTATTATTAGTTGGTTCCGCCATTGGTGTGATTAGATTAGAATTGATAGAAGCTAAAGGCCTAAAAAGTGTCGATTCTTTCCTCGCTGGTGGTAAATATATTTTATTATATCAATATAATTAATCTCATTCAAATTAAATCTTCAATCATCAATTAATTAAATCAATTAAATCAATTAAATCAATTAGGCAAATCCGACCCGTATGTTCGAGTATTTTGTGCGGGTAATAATAAGGACATTATCGCTCAAACAAAAGTCATTGACAACAACCTGAATCCAGTGTGGAATGAAGTTCACTATCTTCCTGTTAAAGGCATTGGTGAAAAGTTCATGTTTGAGGTGATGGATTTTAACACTTTTATAAAAGATAGACCACTTGGAAATCATCATTTTGAAGTTACTCGTGAACTTGCCAAAGAACTTCCTGATGGTACTTATGAAGGCACTCCAAATGGCATCGATGTGTAAGTGTAATTTTTATTAAACAACTTTGTTAAATCATTATATTAGATCATTATATTAAATCATTTTACTAAATTATTATACTAAATCATTATACTTTTAGCTGGGTAAAACTTACTACACAAGGACAGATTCATTACAGAGCTAAATTCTTCCCCTTGGAACCTCTTCCAAAACCTACTCCTGATTTCCTTGCCAATCTTAAAGAGAAACCTTTTGATCGTTCAACATTTTACAATCTTATCACCTTACAAGCTCCAAATGGTGGTTTCCCTCCTTCTGATAAATTAGCCAATCTATTCGGTTTTGAATCTCAGGATCAACTTTTAGAATTATATAAACGTCAATGCCGTGAAGATCGTATTTTAAAACATGATCCTACCGTGTGGACCACTAGTATGATCTTATGGTTCTTACGGTTCTTATTAAAGGATTACAGAAGTGAATGGGGTGGTGTTTATGAACGTGCTGAACAATACATTAGCAAAGCAGTTAACGATTTAGAAATTGAAGAGACTGTGGTCGCTACCGGCAGAAAGGCTGTCCGTGAAAGATTTGATATCAAAATTGATAATGGTCTGTATAACTTATTTATCTTTTTGTCTATTGTTAAATCTATTTTTAATTTATTTATATTATTCTTTACTAATAATTAAATATTTATTAATTATTATTATTATTCTATTATTCTATTATTATTTAATTAATTTAAAAATAGATCCTAAAACCAAACGACTTACTAGAGAAACCATCTCAATCACACATATTAAACGTCTTCTTAAATGTCAACAAAGTACTGGTGCATATCAAATTAATGATGATTTTGCAAAATCCCTTGGTTATGAAAACATGGATAAACTCCGTATAGCATTCAATGAATATAAAGATAAAAAATCCAAATCACAAAAAATCTCTCAAGTTAGTCTCCAAACCTGGATGACAATGCTTATGCTTTATTTCTATCGTTACGTTGCTATTGATCAAAGAAAAGAATGGTACCATACATATGAAAAGTCTTATAGATGGGTATGGGCTCAATTAAAGGGTAACGAATCCCTTGAGCAAGAATGTTTTGAAATTGTTAAATCATTTATCAAGGAATGCCATGATGTAAAGGATGAAGTTTTGGAATCGGATCGTGCTTTCGAAGGTGAACTTTCTGAAATGATAAATTCTATCAAGCATCCACAAAAAGAACGAGGAATCGGTAAAAAAAATTTTTTATTTTATTTTTTTTTTCCTTATTTATTTTATATTTATTTTTTTAAAATTTTATAAAGCTCAAAAACCTCATGGTATCGCACGTATCGAAATTATTTGCGCAAAAAATCTTAAGCAAGCCGATTCGTGGTCTGGTAGTAGTGCTTCCGATCCCTGTGTTAGAATATCAAACATTGCCACA